TGCTCATTTTTAGATATGCATATGGAAGCATATAAAGAGGAATGATTTTTTTTTTTTGGTACCGGGGATCGAACTCCGGTCCTTGCGCTTGCGAAGCAGGCAGCAGAACCACTGAGCTAAATCCCCGGCCCTGAATGATGTATTTTTTATAAATAATGAAAAGGAAAATTGAAGCAGATATAGCAAAAAAAATTTTTTTGTGGTATTGGGGGTTGAACTCAGGGCCTTGTGCATTCTATGCAAGTGCCCTACCACTGAGCTACGTCCCCAGCCCTTTTAAAATTTTTATTTTGAGACAGGTTGCCAGGCTGGGGTCAGACTTCCAGTGCTCCTGCCTCAGCCTCCCAGAGTGCTGGGGTTATAGGCATGGCCACCACATGCAACTACGAAATTTGTTTCTGAGTTTGGATCAGTAATAATATTAAATTGTTCTTGGAAAATTTAATGTACAGGGCTGGGGATTGAGCTCAGTGGTTCCGATGCCTGCCTCAAAAGTGCAAGGACCTGAGTTTGATCCCCAGTACCAAAAAAAAAAAGAAAAGAAAAGAAAAAAAAAGATTTAATGTACAGTATGTTGATCTCCCAGATAGAGTTGAAATAAATATTTAGGATTTTATTATCTTCATAGACTAAAATTTCCATTCTTTAATAAGAATTATTTACATTTAAGTAGTATTTCATGTTTATCTTATTTTATTACTCCAAAACTGCTGGGGCAGGGCCTGGGGACATGGACCATTGTACAGTATGGTCTTAGCATGCCCAATGCCTTGGGTTCAATCATCAGTCCCACATAGTAAACAAAATCGCTGGGGCAAGGTGGGGATAACGTTGATTGATAACAAAGGTGGGGGAAAAAACAGAAATATATATATTTGTGATTTACCGGTGAGGTTTTAGAAAGTTTTAACCTTTCTTTTTTTTTTTTTCGTTTTTTGAGACAAGGTCTCACTACATAGTTCACACTGGTGTTGTACTCACTATGTAGCCCGGGCTGGCCTGGAACTCGAAGCGATCCTCCTGCCTCAGCCTTTAGAGTGCCGGGATCACAGGGGTGCACCACCACACCTGGCTTAGTCTTACTTTTTAAGAATTGTGCGTGCTATGATGGGATGTGATAGTGGTAGGGTGGATGCTAGGTTTGAACGGGCATCATAGGTAATTTGATGCATTGTTTTTTTGGTTTTTGGTTTTTTTGGTATCAGGGATCAAACTCGGGACCTTGGGCTTTCAAGGCAGGCGGTGGAACCACTGAGCTAAATCCCCAGCCCTGGTGCATTGTTATTAACAGGAATAATTAATTTAACTGCTTACAATGGACAATAAAAGAATATAACTATTTGGAAAATACACCTTGGCTGGTTTACGTTACCGAGTTTTCTTTTTATGAAAAACTACTTCCTGTGTTTAGGGCATCGGGTCAGAAGTTGAGAATTCCACTATTGAGAAACAGCGCAAGGAGCTGCAGCTGCTCATCGGAGAATTAAAAGATCGGGATAAGGAGCTCAATGACATGGTGGCAGTGCACCAGAGACAGCTGCTCTCCTGGGAGGAAGACCGGCAGAGAGTGCTGACCCTGGAGGAACGCTGCAGCAAGCTGGAAGGTCAGACACACACCGGGCGGCAGGTGGCGCCCTTCTCCGCGACAGAGTGTCAGAGGCCTGGGGAGGCCAGAGCAGGATTAAGAACCCAGCCCTGCAGCGCGGAAGCTCAGCCTCTTATGGGGCGCCTTCTGAACAGCCGCGTAGAGCAAACTCAGAGAAGGGGCTGGATAGAGCACCAGGTGACTAAGAAGCCATTCTGGGCAAGAAGAGGAAGAAAGGTGCCGCTGATTGACTGCCCATTTCTCTTGAGCTGATGAATTTTAAACTTTTGGGGTTGAACTTGAGCCTAGGTGCCTAAAATAGTTGTCTTTTTATTTTATTTTATTTTATGTATTTATTTATTTATTTATTTATTTATTTATTGGTACTGGGGATTGAACTCGGGTTCTTGTGCTTGTGCAACAGGCGGCAAAACCACTGAGCCAAATCCCCGGCCAATAGTTGTCTTTTTAATGTGTAGCACTCTCAAATACAGCTTGTATAAATTCTCTTTTGTACCATATTTTAATTACTGCTGCCCTGTTGACACTAGATAATTACTAGAATACACTAGAGTGGAAAACAGTAGATCTGTTTAATACTCATGTAGCATCTTTTCTTTTCTCCTTGTATTATATGAAGGTAACATAAGTAAATATGACATATATATATATAATTTTTCCATTTCTTTGATGACCATCTGATTTTTACTCTGACCATACCCACATCCACACACATAAATACACAAAGTGTTTAAAATAATTCCTTGAAAAAGAAATAAGGTGGGCATGGTAGAACACACCTGTTAATCCCAGCACTCTGGGAGTCTGAAACAGGGGGAGCTCAAATTTGAGACCAGCCCGGGCAACTCCCTTAGGGAGGCCCTATTTCAAAGTGAAAAATAAAGGGACAGGGATGTAGCTCAGTGGCACCGTGCCTTCCTGGCAAGCACAAGGTCCTGAGTTCGATCCCCGGTACCCCCCCCAAAAAGGCAACAAAGTGAAAAATTTAAGAAGGGCTGGAAATGTAGCTCAGTGCAAAGACCCTGGGTTCAGCCTCTGGTACCACAGTAAAATAGATGGACAGATAGATAGATCCATGCATGCACACATATGTATGTGATATGAGCAAGACTTGAATAGGCACTTCATGGAAAGAGGAAAATTAAATGGCCAATAAATATATTTAAAAGTTCTCATTAGTAGTTAGGGAAATGCAAATTAAAACCATAGTGAATACCATTTTACATTTACCAGACTGATAAAAATTGCCAGATGTTGGTAAAGATGTGGAGCCCCCCCCCCCCCATGGCCCTGTTGTGTCTGATCTTGGAAGCTGAAGAGGGCTGGGCATTGTTAGTACCTGGCTACAGGGACAGGGAGCCCGGGGAAGAAGCCTTGCACACTGCTGGGAGGAGTCGCTTGACACAGCTTCTTTGGGAATCATCTCAGTGTCTGGTAAGGTTGAAGACAGATCCTGTGAGAGCACCCCAGCGGTTGGAACTGTTCCGGCAGTGGCCCAGCCAGTCCACTTCTCACGTTCACATTGGAATGTGCAGTGAGCTGCCTGAGGAGCTTACCAAGGTGGAGATTCTGGGCTGGAGTTCAGCTTAGTGGTCGAGTGTGTGCTCGGCATTTCTGAAGTTTTTGTTCCTGTTGTTTTGTTTTTGTGGGAGTTTTTTGGTACCAGGAATCAAACTCAGGACTTTGCGCTTGTGAGGCAGGTGGTGGCACCACTGAGCTAAATCTCTGGCCCCGTTTTGTTTTGTTTTTGAAACAGTCTCACTATGTAGTTCAGTCTGGCCTTGAACTCACTATGTGACCCAGGCTGGCCTCAAACTCACAGCGATCCTCCTGCCTCAGCCTCCCTAGTGCTAGGATTACAGTCATGCGCCACCACACCTGGCCATGCTTCACATTTTTGAGGCCCTGAGTTCAGTTCTTAGCACGAACAACAACCTGATACAATAGGTTCGGGGCCCAAAAGTCTCTATTTCTAGCAAATTCCCCAGTGATGCCATGGCTGTTGGTTCAAGAGTCGTATTTTGAGTAGCAGGGTTCTAGAGAAACTTATAAATAGCACCAAGATTCATGTAAAAAAATATTTGTAGCAGCATTACTTATAATAGCTGTGAAGTAGAAATAACCCACATGACCTGCAGTAATAGAATGGATAAATTTTGGTGGAATCATTCAGTGGACTAATATGGCAGTGTTACCAGCAAATAGGAGTTATACACAACAGCATGGGTGAATCTTGGGATCGTAATCTTTTTTTTTTTTTTGGTACCGGGGATCAAACTCAGGACCTTGTACTTGCCAGGCAGGCGCAGTGTTGGGATCATAATCTTAAATGAAAACAGCAAGTAGACGAATCATGAAGTATACTTCTGTCTATATATGGTTCAAATTAAACTATACTTTTAGGAATGCAGTCAGAGGTAGTAGAACAATAATGAAAAGCAGGGCCGGGGATTTAGCTCAATGGTTCCACCGCCTGCCTCGCCTCCCAAGCGCAAGGTCCCAAGTTCAATCCCCAGTACCAAAAAAAAACAAACAATAATGAAAAGCAAGGAAATGATTGCCATCAGGGTGGGGCTTGGAAATGAGTTGGGAGAGGTTGTGTCCGGACGTAACCCCAGGGGGCTTCAGGGTTCCACCAGTGCTCTGTTTCCTGAAGGACAGTATCGTGCATTTCATATTTCAAAATAATTGTCCTGGGGCCGGGGATTTAGCTCAGTGGTTCTGCTGCCTTGCAAGTAAGTGAAAGGACCCAAGTTCGATCCTGGTACCAAAAAAAAAAGAACTGTCCTCTAAAAATTCTTTGGCACATTTTTGCTTTTTAACCACTGACTTTGAAAATAATATATTTCAAGCTTCAGATCCAGCTGCAAATAAGTTGGTGAAATTTCCCTCAGGTGAACTACATAAAAGAACAGAAATAATCAGATCACTCATGAAGAAGGTCAAGGTCCTGGAATCCAATCAAATCGAATGTCAGACAGCTCTTCAGAAGACTCAGCTACAGCTGCAGGAGATGGCTCAGAAGGCGACACACTCCTCCCTCCTCTCCGAAGACCTCGAGGTTGGTTTTATTTTCTGAGAAGTTTCACCACCCCACATTTTGTGCTTCCATTGTTAAAAATTTAGATTGTGCAAGCGCAAGGACCTGAGTTCAATCCCCGGTACCAAAAAAAAAATTTAGATTGATTGCTGGGTGTGGTGGCGCACGCCTGTAATCCCAGCACTCAGGAGGCTGAGGCAGGAGGATCACTGAGTTCAGTTAGAGGCCAACCTGAACTACATAGCAAGACTCTGTTTGGGGAAACTGCACCTTGCTGCCCTGTTCTGGAGATCAAGCTTCCTTACAACCCTTGCTTACCTGTTTTGCCATTTGGTTTGGTAGCATCTGCCATTTTATTAACAATGGGTTATTGTAGAGAACCTTTTCAAAGTTTGAAATGAGTATCATCATATTTTGGTAGCTTCAAATTCTACTTTCTAAATTCTAAGTCTTATCTGATATGATAAACATACCTATACCATGGTAGGATTACCATATTGGGAATAAAATCTGTAAGTCTGATCTTTTAGTTTTGAATTCTAACTGGCCTGTCTGTATATTTCTTTTTGTTTTGTTTTTTGAGCCAGGCTCTCCCTATGTAGCTCAGGCTGGCCTCCAGCTCTTGGCGTTCCTCCTGCCACACAGCCTTCTGACTGCTGGGATTACAGGCTCACATCATTACACCCAGCTATTATTATATATTTTTAAGCTCATTTATTATGAAAGGCCCAGAGAAAAAGCCAGCTTTGGTTTTGTTACATCCTTCGTGTAATTTTTTCATAATATTACTCAGTATGGGTCCTGGTAATATAATGAGACTTAATAACCCACAATAAGAGAATAGAGCTTATTTTATGTCCCTTTTTGAGAATACTATTCTAGATAGGTTCTAGCTATAAAATAATAAACTTTCGTAGAATCTATTGATAAGTTGGGTGAAAGAAGGAGGTACCTTTTTAATTAGTGAACTGTTTTTCAAGCAGTTTTAGATTCACAGAACAGTTGAGCGGGCTGCACAGGGGATTCCCATAACAGCCCTGTGTCCGCACGCACGGTCTCCCCACGCTGACACCCACCCTGCGGCGGTGTGTGTTAGAGCTGCTGATCCCACACGGACACATCGCCGTTTACAGATGGGCTCACTAGGGCCAGGGATTTAGCTCAGTGGTTCCACTGCCTCCCTGGCAAGCAAAAGGTTCCAAGTTTGATCCCTGGTACCACCCCCCAAAAAACAAAACAAAAGGGCTCACTCTTTGTAGTTTACCTTGTGTGGGCTTCTGGTAAATGCATAACAGTGTTTATCCGTACCCCAGTGTGAAGTTCTCCCAGCAGAGTTTAAAAAGATGCACAGAATTCATTAATGTTACTTTATTTCATGGAAGGAAATCTCTTACTCAGTTCACATTCATTCATTTTCTTCCTTCTACAATTATACATAATTATATATTATAAAATTATATGTAACAACCTAAAATTATATGATTACACATATACAACCTAACATCATACATCAAAATATTAGGTAATGGACATGTTTACAGACAGAGCCAATATAATTCAGTTACAAGGATTGAGAGGAGAGAGTTCATGCAGAAATAGAGTGGACCCTTGACCTACGAACTCAATTCGTTCTCAAGGGCTGGTTGTAACTCAGGTTGGTCAGTGAAGGCTCAGGCTCCTCTACACAGCCTTCAGAGTCTCTCCTGTACACAGGCAGGTCTCAGTGTCCTTAGAGAGATGTCAGCCCAGGATTTCTCAGTTAACCCACACAGGGAAGGATGCTGTAATGCTCCTTCCAAAGCTCTCTAAGGGTTAAATCTGTATCTGAGACCATCTGGAAGCATGAGCAGCCAGCATTTGGGTTGTAACTCAAGACTTTGGTCATAAGTTAAAACTAAAATCCTAGTTGTAACCCAAGTTGTGCATATATCAGGCCAGTCGTAACTTGAGGTTACACTGTATTTGTATTCTTTTTTGATGACTACTTAGCCCACTTTGCTCCTTAAAAAAGTTAAAAATAAACAAAATAGAGAAATGAACATAGATCGCGACTTGGTGACAGTCACAAAAACTTCCAAAAGACTCATTAGCATTTTCTGTGTTGTTCCCTTGTAGGCTAGAAACGAGAATCTCAGCAACACGTTAGTTGCACTTTCTGCTCAGGTGGGACAATTACAAGCTAGAGAACAGGCTCTCACTACAACGATAAAGCTAAAGGTAATTAAAAATAATTACCCCTTCACTCACCAGAGCACTTTGTAGCTTACAAATACATTGTCCCAGCCAACTGCTTTAGCAATCCAGCTGCCGAAGTTGCTCTTGTTTTACATGATTGCTTTAGAAATTGGAGAAACAAGTTTCAAATGCTGTCCCCAAAGCATCTAGTGAGGAGGCAAGAACCCCTGCAGCCTCCGCCTCTCATGCCTGCCCACTCTGTGGCTGGACATGCTTGAACCAGAGGAGCTCATTCCCAGGAAGCCACTGGCAGATCTCAGGGGGTTACTGCAGTCACAGTGCTTGTAAATTGTTTTCACTAAATCAGGTGAAAAACTGTTAGCAACGAGGGAGTTGATGCAGCCACTATCATGGGTACACAGTGCTGCTCATCAGTGCTCCATGTCCTCAGCCGTCGCACACAGGCCTGACACTTGGTACGCAGGGGAATGGTGCTGGTGACATGGAAAATGCACTTAGTTTCCCCAGGGTGCTAATGTTTTCACATGGTCATGGGCATGCTCTCTAAAATTAAAAGAGAAACATGTTAAAATCTACAGAATTCGCTTTAGTTAAATGGTGGCCACTTCAGTGGCCTCAACAACTGCCCTGGTATCTGCCCTGTGAGTACCGACAAAGTGCCGTGGAGACAAAGTGCCGTGGAGACGTTTTGCCCACATCCAAACAGTGGATTCACAGACAGCATCTTGCCCAGAATTGGCTTGTGTTTTGACGAACGTGATGTCTGGTGGAAGCAAATGTCCCCTGGGACATGCTTAGCAGAGGAGGAAGTGGGGGCTGCAGGTTTCAGGTGAAGAAGACCGAGTGACATTGATGTACATCTAACTGTGCTTGTAAGTTTATTAGGCACGGGGATTGTTTGCTGCTGCCTCCTTGCTCTGGACCATTGTTGCGCTGGTTTCTGTTGTCCCCAGAAGTTACCCTGGTGTGAGCTGTCAGACTGAGGTTCTCCAGAACACAGATTATGCTGTAGCAGAAATGCACTATGCTGGGGAAAACTCGTTGATAATAGTTACTCCAGATGAGTGGGGGAGGGATTGTGTTTGTTTTCATTTTTTGTTTTTTTGAGACAGGGTCTCACAACATAGTTGAAGCTGGCCTTGAACTCCCTGTGTATCCCAGGCTGACCTGGAACTTGAGGCAATCCTACTGCCTCAGCCTTATCCTGGGATTACAAATGAGTGCCACCACGCCCGGCATATTTTAGACCTTCAGATATTGTTTGAATTTGCTTTTCAACAGCCAGATAACTTTTTGGTAATTCAAACAACCTCAACAATAGAGATTCTAATTTGGCTAGGTTTGAGATGAGGACTTGGAGTCTGTGGTTTAACAAACTGAAAGAAGGGAGGAAACAGCGGACCCTCAGGATTTACCTGTAATCCAGAGAGCAATTTCCCTGTGCCAGATCTGCCAGCCTTCTTGCTGTGCCAGTTTCCTAGCTGATCCAGTTGGTTCTAAACTTTCTGGGATACAATCAGGGTTAGTGACAGCACATGGTTTCTGAAGCACATGGTTTCTGAAGCCGGGCAGCTAAGTTCAGATGGTGGCTCCAGGGCTACTAGTTGTATTACTCTGGGCAACTGGCAGTGCTTTTTTGTGTCTGAGACTCATCTGTCACTCGGCATTGACAATAGTACATACATCATTCAGTGACTCAAGATGAACTGAGTTAACATGAGTAGTGTTTAGAAAGAGACCCATTGGCCAGGGATTTAGCTCAGTGGTTCCGCCGCCTGCCTCAAAAGCGCAAGGTCCTGCGTTCGATCCCCAGTACCAAAAAATAAAATAAAATAAAAAGATCTCCATTGCACAAGGAGATCTAAATAAATGTAATCTTTTGCTGATTGGTTGGAATTTTAAAATGTAGGATAACAGTTTTCAAACTTGGTTTTTAGGACAAAGATATTATTGAGGCCGTCAATCACATTGCAGATTGTTCGGGTAAATTTAAATTGTTAGAGCATGCTTTGCGTGATGCCAAGATGGTGGAGAATTCTGTCGTGAAAGAAAAGCAAGATTATAAGCAGAGGTTGAAGGCACTCAAGATTGAAGTCAATAAACTAAAAGGTAAGTAAGAGACTTAAGTTTAAGATGTAATATATTGCACTCGGGAGGCTGAGGGAGAAGGATTTCAAGTTCAAGACCAGCCTGGGCTATATAGCAAGACCCTGTCTCAAAAAACCAAAACGAAAACCAACCAAACAAAAAGTAATATGTTATTTTAGAAATATATTTCTTTATTTGTATTCACTTAATCTTATACTTGAGAGTATGTCTATTCCTGGCTTTAGGTCCTAACATGAAATTTCTGTTTCATTTATATAGAATTATTCATTTATACAGAATTTTTGTGTTATATGATAAATAACAGAGGTAGGATAAATTGTATAATGGATCATATTTTTAAAATAATCCTCCCTTTGTTTGGGTGTCTCTACCAGCTAGCTATGCCGATGATACGTGCTGAGTAACAGCAGGGTCTCAGCATGAGTCCTGGCATCCATTACACTCTCACAGTAGGAGATGGTCCACATGGAACTGGCCTCACCTCTCCTCTGGGCAGAGGCTGGCCCAGAGGGCACAAATGCAAGAGAACCAGCAGAACCATGAGGCCTCCTAAAATTCAGGCCTGAATGGGCGAGCATGTTGGCTCATGTCTGTAATCCCAGCACTTGGGAGGCTGAGGCAGGAGGATCACTGTGAGTTTGAGGCCAGCCTGGGCTACATAGTGAGACCCTGTTTCAAAAACCAGAAAACATTCGGGACTGGACCTAACATACTGTCACCTCTGTCTCCTGTCGGCTGAAGTCAGCCATGTGGCGGAATCCAAAGACAAATGGCAGTAGTGGGGAGATTCTGTGCTCCATGTGGGAGGAATTGCAGAAGCACATGCAGGGAGGGATGAGTGATTGCCACTGCCACTGTCTCCCTTTGGGGTTCATGTTTCATTTTTGCAAATTCCCTTTGGGTTCTTTTCTATTTTTGTTCTCACAGTAATGTCATGATTCACTCCTTTCTGCTTATATAATTCTGGAAGTTTTGTAGTGAAATGAAATCAAGGTATGCCAAATGCCTTGGGATGGATTTCTGTATCTAGGGCTATTTGAATGTGGATATAGGTAGCCGATGGAGTAAACATTCATCTACAAAGGGTGGAGTTAGCCCCACTTTTCTCTGCATTTCTGCAGGGGGCAGGTTGCTGTGAGAAGCAGAATAAATGATTGGACGGACGAGCTACCATTTTAATCTTAAATCTGCATACAGTATCACTTTTTTTTTTTTTTTACAGTATTGGAGATTGAACCCAGCTGCATTCATACTGAGCTGCATTCCCAGCCTTTTTCTTTTTTCTTTCTTTTTTTTTTTTGGTACCGGGGATCGAACTCGGGTCCTTGCACTTGCACAGCAGGCGGCGAAACCACTGGGCTAAATCCCTGGCCCTCCAGCCTTTTTCTTTATTTTTAATTATGAGACAGGCTGGGCTCAAACTTGTGATCCTCCTGCCTCAGCCTCCCAGAGTATTTCAGGGATACACCACCACACGTGGTTGAAGTGAGTGTTCATCTTTTATAAATGGCCCCTGCACTAGATGACAGGACCAACTGCACTGTGGACCGAGCCACTCAGACACGGTGACAGCGCCACAGCCTGGGGATGTTGTTCGCGGCCCGTCTAGGGTAGTTCTCCCCATGAGGCAGCGGCTTACTCTTTCTGGGCAAGCCAGGTATCAGCACGGAGGCGACTCCTGCGTCCTGAGCTAAGGGACCTGTCACATTTTCTCCAACGGAAAAACTCTAAAATCAGGAAATTTTATCTTGGCTGACTTAATTGAAAAGACTCCATTCTAAACTCTTGACCTTAGGATGCTCTGACGTATGGTAAATAGCATTTGTAGCTCCAGCCAAACTGTAATTGTGCTCTGAGCTGGTGGCCCCGGGACAGGCTGCACCCTGCTGTGGGCTCAGCAGTTCCTAGCACAGCCCTGGGGCCATGGTGTGGGTGAGGGTGCTCACCGATCTTTGTGCTGCCTGGGAGACACGGGAGGGGAAGCCTGGTGAGTCAGTGTATAATAGGGATATTTACAAGGTTCGCTATTTATTAAGAGCATTTTTAAAGAAGGAAAGCAGGGTAAAGGGCAGTGGAATGCAGAGTGAGGGAGAAGGGTTCGCTTGTTTAGTCGGGTGGACACGGGCGGCGGGGGAGGGAGGCCAGGTTGCAAAGCTGCCATTGGAGCCGGAAGTGGATGCTGGGGAGAACCGGCCACGTGAGGACCTGGGCCAGGAACCTTCGGGCAGCAGGAACAGCAAGTGCAGCAGCCCCGTGGGTTTGGGACTGGGGACAAGCTGGGGTTTTTCTTTGATACTGACCAGTCCTCCATTTGTCTGATACAGCTGGGTAAGCAGACGTTCAGTTCAGTCCGGTAGCGCTTACCTGGAGTTAGTGTCAGCCCAGGCTGAGGGCCTCTGCCCCCCAAGACTGCTCCCACTTCACACCCCAGTCACCAGTCCAGGTGTCACCTGTACTTCTGGCCAGCCAGCTATAAATCTGGGGTTCCACAGCCACTTCTTCAGGCCCTGTCATTTCCTAGAATGGCTCCCAAATTCAGGGAAACACTTTCCCTCCTTTTTCTTGAATATTATCCCCCACCCCCGCAGGGACTTGCCTCCCTCCCTGCTGCAGCCCGGGTCTCCTTGGTGCCCAGCCCATTCTGAGGCTGTCCTCATAGCATGACTCTGGTGTGACCCAGAGGGGCTCTGACAGAGACACTCCTGTCACTTAGGAGATTCCATGAGCCGTAGAAGCTCTTTGCTGGAAACAGAGGACAAAACCCAAGTACATCTCTTCTTGTACCACTGGCGCATTCACAGAGCTGAGGGGAGAGGGAGTTGGGGACAGGGCAGGGCCGGGCCTCTGGCTGTGCCAGTCAGGGTCAGAGCTTGGGTTTCATCCAGAGTGCAGTAGGAGGGCTTCTCACGGAGGGGTGGCATGAGCAGCTTTTATTGTTAAACCCTGCTCTGTGTCCCCTGTGTCTTTGCGGGAGAGGCAAAGCCAGAGCTGGGACCGCCTCAGGGCCAAGGCTGCACCCAGGTGTGGGGCTGTAGACCTAGGAGGACTTTGCCAGTCCTGGGACCACAATGGTGCGGACCACCAAGTTTCTTCTAAGGAAACTAGTATTTGCGGTCTTTCCCCCCTCTGTTTGTGAAGAGGACCTAAATGAAAAGACAACAGAAAACAACGAACAACGGGAAGAGATCATTCGCCTCAAGCAAGAGAAGAGCTGTCTGCATGATGAACTGATCTTCACAGGTACAAATAATTAGCTTAAGTGATTGAATAGTTATGTTTTAACCTAAGTCTCCCCTGACACTATGTGACCAGAGAAAGGAAATACACCTCTCTGAAAGTAGGTTTTGGGTTTTCTTTTTATTTTCTTGGTACCAAGGATCGAACTTGGGAGTTTACTCTTGAGAGACAGGCTCGGTACCACTGAGCTAAATCCCCAGCCCGGTTTTTCTTTTTTTAAACCACCCTTTAAGAGATTGATGAGGAACCAAGCACAGAATTTTAAAGCCATCCTAAATCCCCCTCCTTCCAGAAAGAGGATAAGTTCCCTCAAATTAAAAGGGGAAACACACTATTACATTTAAAATTTTTCAAATACAAAGCAATTCTTCATTTTAATCTTGTTTACAGACTGGGAAAGAAGTGCAGTTTTCTACCACTAGAGGTCACTATTCCACTGCTTCTAGGATTGCTGTCTCACGTTACTAGACTTGTAGGTACAGTACCTGCTTGTATCTCTACAGGTGAATTCATTCTTGGCATCAGCATTGTGATGAACCACAGACCATTTCTATTTATTTATTTTTATTATTTATTTTTTGTACCAGGGATCGAACTCGGGTCTTTGCTCTTGTGAGGCAGGCGGCAGAACCACTGAGCTATACCCCCAGCCCTCTATTTATTTATTTATTTTCAGTAGTGGGGATGGAACTAAGGACCTTGTGCTTGCCAGGCAGGCACAGCACCACTGAGCTAAATCCCTGGCCCTTCTATTTATTTTTTATTTTCTGAGAAGAGGTCTTGCTTGAGACACTCAGCTCCTGGGCTCAGGCTGTTTTCAACCACATAGCTGGGAGTTCAGGTGCTCCCCAAGTCCAGCTGAGTCTCCCCCTGTGTATAACTAGGTAAAATGCATGGAATTTGTTAAGTAATACCATATTTTGTGAAATGATTTTGAAAGTCATTTCCTAAGCTGACTTTGTTTTGTTTCTGAGACAAGGTCTTACTCTGTTGTCCAAGCTGGCCTGGAACTCCCTGTGTAGCCCATGTTGGCCTTGAATTCATGATCCTCCTGCCTCAGCTTCCCAAGTACTGGAATTCCAGACATGTGCCACTGTTTCTGGCTGAGTATGTTTCAATTATGAATGAATTAAGTAAAAAAGAAATATAAAAGGTTAGGGCCGAGGATTTAGCTCAGTGGTTTCACTCCCTGCTGTGCAAGCTCAAGGACCCAAGTTTGATGCCCAGTACCAAAAAATAAAGATGTCTTGATACTTTACTTTTAAAAAATTCAAAACTCTCCTCTTGTTGAAGATGAAGTTCTTCACACAGGTCTGCAGGCACAGTTTGCTTATTTGTACACAGTGCTCTAAGGAGTTGGCACAGGGAAGGGCCTCCGGGTGTGGCAGACCTGTAACGAGGGCCCCTTCCATCGAGGCCTTGCCCCAGCTGCTCAGCCAGTAAAGGCAGGTGCTGCTCAGACCTGGACCCGGTGCCCTTCCCTGGGCTCTCGCTGAGTGCCCACAGGGCCCCACAGACTCTGCACGCTCAGCTCTCAGCCAAGAGAGCCATGGAGAAGAGTACCAAACTAGGGAGGCGGCAATGTAAGGAGGGCAGAGGAGCTGCCTCATGCAATAGTAGGGTATTCTGAAATCAGAGTTAAAACAAAATTCAAATAAATTTAAAATCCCCCTAAAATAGCTAGCCTGGTGGGGTGTGGCAGTGCATATCTTCGATCCCAGCACTCTGGAGGCTGAGGCAGGAGGATCACATACTTGAGCCCAGCCTGGCAACTCCATGACTTAATGAGACCCAATCTCAAATCTGAAAAAAGAGGGGCATAGACTGGGGATATAGTTTAGTGTAAAGGCCTGGGGTTCATTCCACAGCACCAAAAAAATAAATAAGATGTTGATCTTTTTTTTTCAGGGGTCATGCTCTATTCAAACAAGTATCTTTGCTGGGTACAGTGTAAGCCAAATGACTTCTCCTTAAGTATAACATTAACATATGCCCTGGTGCAGTACATTAGATTCTTTCCTTTTTGAAAGTTCTTTCTTGTGGTGCTGCTACTGCTGGGGTTGCAGCCAGGGCCTCATGCGTGCTAAGAGTAGCTACACCCCAGCCCCTAAAAATCACTTCTTAATACTTTGGTATAATTACATAGAAACACACACACCTATTTATTTATTTATTTATTTAGGCAGTACTGTGGATCAAACCCAGGGCCTTTACATTGAGCTACATCCCTGGCCCTTTATAAATTTTTGTTTTGTTTTGAGAAAGGGTCTCATTAAGTCACTGAGTTGCCCACGCTGGATTTGAACTTATGATCCTTCTGCCTCAGCCTCCAGAGTACCACCACGTCTGACCACACATGAACTTTTAAATCCATTTTTGACTTAGGATTAATTACATTGTGAGGCTTCCCATTTCATGAAGGATCTAGTCAGAATCACAGATGAAAGCTCTTCTTCGTCAGCCATCCTGCAATTTTTTTTTTTTGTACTAGGGATCGAACTTGGGATCTTGCGCTTGCGAGGCAGGCGGTGTAACCACTGAGCTAAATCCCTAGCCCAGCCACCCTGCAATTTTAACTTCAAGAACAACAACAAAAGGGCCAGGGATTTAGCTCAGTGGCGCTGCACCTGCCTCACAAGTGTAAGGTCCTGAGTTCAATCCCTGGCACTAGAAGAAAAAAAACAAAAAACAAAAACAGTGTTACCTGTTAAATTGTTAGAAATGGAGCGACTTGTATTGATATAGCTGATAAAAAATGTTCAATAATTTTTGTTCTTAAATAGTGGAGAGAGAAAAGAGGAAAGATGAGTTACTGGATATTGCCAAGTCAAAGCAAGAACGTACAAACTCAGAACTTCATAATCTGAGACAGGTACGTCCTCGGCTGTCCTTCTGTAGAGGCAGGAAATGTTGGGGAACAAATGAGGAAGCCATATAGCTTCTGCTTATGGTGCTTCTGCAGTGCTAACTGCATTAGACATGATATTAGCATAGCAGTGAGGGTCTGGTTTATGATAATCGAAGGTTAGGAGATCAGCTGTCCCCACAAATCTTAGTACAGGCACATTTAGCTTTTTGTAGCAGCTAACTGAACTGTTTTAGGTTTGTTTTTTTTTTGGTACCGGGAGTCCTTGAGCTTGCAAGGCAGGGAGCGGAACCACTGAGCTAAATCCCCGGCCCTGTTTTAGGTTTTAAAAGTGCCAAATTGTGGTTCAGTTTAGTTGGTTATTACACTTTATCATGATTTATCAATGTCTGTGGCAGATTTACATAAAACAACAGAGTGATCTCCAGTTTCTTAATTTCAATGTGGAAAATTCTCAGCAATTTATACAGATATATGATTCAAAGATGGAAGAATCAAAGAGCCTGGAATCCAGGTAATCTTAGCAGATGCTATGAATATGATCTCATTTTTTATTTCATTATTAGATCAGTGTTTACTTTGTGCTTACCATAGGCCAGGGCCTACTCTTGTCCTTCATATGGGGAAATAAATATATGTAAGCTAAATTATCGTCATAATCCCAGACAGTGGAAAGACCTGTTCTGAGAACTGAGGCATGACCCTGATTTAGCTGGCTGCTAAAGAGTAAAATCCTTAGACCTGACATGTGTGTCTGCTGGGTAGGAGGCTTGAGCTAGAGTAGAAACTACAGAGACAACTCGGTCCTCCTTCCTTCATTCTTCCTGCACACACCGTGTTTAGGTACCAGGCTAGGGCTAAAGAGCATGGAGATCCTTCTGACGCGGTGCCTGCCTCTGAGAAATAATGCAATGCTGAAGAACAATGTCCGTGACCGCACCAGGTGCTCAGCTCTGAGGGACATCTCTGCTCCTAGCCTGACTTTCCTGTTTGCCTCTTCATCTTAATACCTGCTCCTTACAGAGCTGCATCCCTGCCCTTCTTTTTTTTTTTTTTGCAGTACTGGGGATCAAACTCAGGACCTTGTGCTTGCAAGGCAGGCAGCAGTGCCACTGAGCTAAGTCCCCAGCCCTCCCTGCCCTTCTTACCTACGCATTTATTTATCCATTTAGTTTGGAGACAGTGTCTCACTAAACTGCTAAGAAGCTCAGGCTGTGCTCCAACTTGCAGTCCTCCTGCCTCAGCTTGCCAGAGTGCTAGGATTCCAGGTGTGCACCTCACGCCCAACTCCAGTTTGCCTTGTGAATAGTAGAGATCTTCCCTAACTAGTAACAAGCGGTATGGGAATTAAACGAGTTTCTGTAAAATTAAAATGTAAATACATAAAGTGTAGTTGAGTGGAACAGGCATATAACTGCACCACAGTTAAATTTAGTCCACTTTCCCAAGCAGAAATGTTACAAGCAGTCAGGAAAAGGAAGCGGGGCTGGGGAAGCTCCCCACGACTGGCACCCACCCGGTCTGGGCTGCACCCACACTGACGGCACGGAGTCGAGTAGTGGGCTCAGCATTTGAGGAAGGGGAAGTAGGAGGCGGGGCTGCTCCTGGCTGCAGCCTGCTGGGCTGCCGGGGTTTGCTTCCCAGGCTGTCCGTGGGGCTGTTCCCCTGTCCCCCCCCCCCCCCCGTGTCCCAGCTGCTCCGCCACCCCGTGCTGGCTCTGTCTCCACTTTGAACTTAACTGCCACAGAGGTGCTGGAGGAGCTGGCCTTGCTCCTTAGGAGCATCAGAGGGTTCCGGAAGGAGGCACAGTGATAGAGGCCAGGATACCTCAATACATGTGACGGAAAATACCCTTAGAGGAAGGTATGCTAAAACAGTTCATCACATTTAGAGTATTCTTGGGGGTTTTTTTTTTGTCGCTTAGGTCGTAAGGACATAGTAGGGAGGGTGGGAATGGGGAGGTGAAGGCAGCCGGGCAGTCAGGAGGGCGTGGGGAGGAGGAGGGTGGGGAGGCCGCAGTTTGGCTCCAGAAGCAGAATGAAGGGTCCTGAGCTCCACTGTCCAGGGGTGGGGACCTGGGGACCACAGGAAATGCCAGTACAAAGTTCGTCTTGTAACTTCCTCTTTTATTTTTGTAATGCCACTGTAGCAGAGACATGTGTTTATGGGACCTTGAAAATAACCACCCAAAAATCGATGTTAAGAGAGAGAAGTCATCGGTCAAGGACCACAAGTTCGAGGCCGTGTTGGCTCAGCAAAATTGGCCAGAGAAGAGCCCTTGTGATGTTTGCAAAGAGAAGAAACTGCAGCCTGGTACTGCATTTGCGGAAAGTGTGATTACTCTCTCATCTCTGTTTCCCAAAGACTTAACAGAGAAACCAAAGTCTTGGCCTCTGGGTGCAAAAACCCCAATTGAGCCTGAAAGCAAAATCACACCGCGCAGGGTCCACGCCAAATTCCCGGAAGATGACGGCCCCGGGCGCCAGGGCGTCTACCTGGGCCTGGCCTGCTGCTGCTGCTGCGGGCCTGGGCAGGCGGGGAAGCTGGACGCCGAGGCTCGAGAGGCCCTGCCGAGGTCCGGAAGCCCGAGCTGCGCGAAGAGCCAGGGCGCCCCGGACGACCGCGTCCCGGGTGAGCCCGCGTGCTGCCACCCGCGGAGCTCCGTCGAAGCCCCGGGCCACATGTCGGACGCCGAGGGGATGAGCGTTTTCCAGCCTGCCAAAGTCCAAAGAATCGTCCGCCACAAAACTGTGTGCACCTGCTCGGGGGTCGTCGACGGGGGGGACTGTGGCTCCGCGGCGAGGTGAGTTCAGGCCGGGCCCGCGGGCCGCAGGGGCCTCTTCCTGCTCCCGCCACGCTGAAGGCAGCGCCTGCAAACGGACGTGCAAGCGCGCCCCAGGAGTGGCGTTAAGGCGCAGGCCGGAGGCCGCTGCCGATGGAGCGGGCACAACGGGAACCAACCGGAACCGGAACCGGCCCCACCCCGGCCCGGCCGCCATCGGCCTCTGCAGGCCGGCCCTCGGGTCCCCGCCCCACCCGCACCCACAGCCTTCTGCTGGTGCGCAGCGTGCTGTTTTCAGCTTTCCGTCTCCCAAACTTTATCACATGCGAGAAGGGGTCTCTGTAGTTAACAGGCCGCTAAAAGTTACCGGCTTTTTAGAGAAGAGAATGCAGTAGACATTAGAATATGCCGAATCATCCGGGCTCATCGGATTGTTAGAACTGCTGAGTCTTACAGCTGAGTGGCGCTGCAAAGACTCCTACTTTTAAATGAGGCAAAGCTCTTCAGTCTTAAACGGATGAAGTTTCTATACTGAGAGCCTTATTTTAATCATTTTATTGACATTCATAGGTCTTTATGACTGAAATTTCTTTCTAGTACTTCTATTACTTGGAATATTCTTTGGCCCTTTTAGAAGCTTGAACCATTTAAAAATCATGCAGACACCCTGTCAGCTGCAAAATTTAAAAAACTGGTTGTCACACTAAATGTCATCTAGTCATATGTATTTTTTTTCCCCAGTACTGAGGAATGAACACAGGGCCTTTCACAATGAGCTACATCCCAGCCTTTTTTCTTATGCTTTATTTTGAGATAGGTCTTGCTAAGTCTCTAAATTTCACCAGGCTGAGCTAGTTTGAGAGCCTCCAGCCTCAGCTTCCCAGAGGGTTGGCATTACAGGTGTGCACCAGCACACCTAGTTTAGCCACATTTGGTTTTTAAAGATCTCTGGCTATCTGCAAGTATCAGTAGGGCACAAAGGCCTGTTTGTCAGCACTAAACAAGAACTTCATATGTTAAGGGGAAAACTTGCATTGGATGGTTTAGAGAGTGTAGTGGATACATTTAAATTTAATATGTGAAATAAATTCAAGTTTACTTTCAGAGCCGTCTCTCAAGGCCTTCTGACCTCGCTGATTTAGTTACCAAGGCAGCGCATGACAAATACTCGACTAAGTGTAAAAGATAATAGTGTTTTTCTATGATTACAAGAGCTTGTGTGTTCACTTTAGAACCTTGGTGAAATACTCACATTTGTGCCCCAGGCACTGCACAGGTGGTTTGCCTGTGAAGGGAGAAGCCGTGGCCCCTGCTCTTCTGGCGTCCCTGAGACGCCAGAATCATGTGAGAGAATCATGGAGCCTGGGCAGTGCCTGCCGCTTTCCCAGGAGGGCTTTTACATAGCTATCAACAAACCTCAGCCTCCCAAACCCCAGGCTCAATGTTTTCACAAGTTCTGTCTGTCTGTCTGCCTGTCTTCCTGTCTCTCTCCGTAACTGGACAGAACCCGCTAAGTTAGCAAGTCCCAAACCACCAAGCTCCACCCCCAGATCTCTGTACATTTGGAGGAGGAAAATTCCCGCTCCTGTACCCTTAACTATGGGTTTTGTTTTCATTCTCACTTGGAAAATAAAATATAATTATAAATTAATTAATCTCAACTCTATAATACCCAGCTCCAACTTGAGCTTCTCCACTTAAAAAACACTCTCTGGGAAGTACTGTCAGTGTAAGAGTACTGGTGACACGAATCAGACACCGCTTTAAGATTCCTCCTTCTGTCTGTTTCACTCTTCACAGGGAGCTGACTGCCATCCAGCAATCCCATTGTTTGAGTTCCTCAAAGTCTGCCACAAGGGAGGATGAGACAGAGGCCTCTCCTGGTGAAAAGAGCTTGCCCACGAGTTTGTTAATCGATAGAGATTCAACACTGTCCACTGAAAAGGTCTGTATTTTGCTTAGTAATCTCCCAGTTTATTCAAGTAGTGCCCAAAATGTTTTCCAGAGCACTGTGATTTTTTTTTTGGTACCGGAGTTTGAACTCGGGTCCTTGCATTTGCAAGGCAGGCAACAGAACCACTGAGCTAAATCCCCGGCCCCCGGAGCACTGTGATTTAATTTTGACCATTCCCTACTTTTTTAAATTGTAGGACTTTAAGATTCTTTTTGTGGTCTTTTTATCCCCCCCAAGTAAAATCTGTATTGCTTTTCCAGGGAGCAATTTGACACGTTTGTTGTTTTTTGTTTTTTCACTTTTCTTTTTTGGTACCGGGAATCGAACCCAGGACCTCACGCTTGCCGGGCAGGCACTGCACTGCTGAGCTACATCCCTGGCCCACGTTTGTTGTTTTTTAAAAAACCAGCAAGCCTGGTGTGGTGGTGCACACCTGTGATCCCAGCACTCTGGGAGTAGGAAGATTGCAAGTTGGAGACCAGCCTGAGCAATTTAGCAATTTAGAGAAACCTTGTCTCAAAATAAAAAACAAAAAAGGGATAGAGACATAGCTCTGTGCAGAGGCCTTGGGTTCAGTCCCTCAGTACCACACATGCAAAAACAAAACCAACAGCAGCACAGAAAGTACGTCCAGAAATTATCACCCAACAGCTTGTCCAAACACACGCCCCGGCAATAGCAGAGTCTCCAGAGAGACAGGTACCTTGCTGCAGAGACACATCCTGATGTGTGTGTGACACACAGGGTTTCACCCAGGCAGGGGCCGCATGCCAGTAATCCCAGCACCCGGGAGGCTGAGGCAGGAAGATCGCCTTGAGTTCAAGGCCAGCTTGGCTACATAGTGAGTTCAAGTCCTGCCTGAACTACATAGCGAGACCCTGTCTCAAAAAAAACCCCCAATAAATAAATAAATAGGATTTCATTATATAAGAAAACACCTAACATTTATGAATTACCAGGATACCAATGTTAAATCTCCACTCCGCTGTGAGAAAGTGCACGGCTGGGTGGTGCTAGCGCTGGCAACTCCCGGCTCTGCTTTTTCCTGGCGACTTTCCTGTAAAGGAGCCACAGTAGGGGTGGGTACTCCTTCTTCAGTGAAAGGCACCTAAGTTAGGAATCCTTTTACCCCTTCCTAAAAGGCTGAACTAAGATGGGTTTGCCATCTGCTTTCAAATAGGAACGGAAAAAATAAATTCCGATTCAAGAAATTTAATTTTTCAAAGAATCATGGATTTTTACCTGCAGAGCCTGAAGGAAGGAGAGAAAAGAAAGTCAGAGTTATTAAGTGCAGTGGCTCTTGTTCACAATGCAATCTCCTGGCCAGGCATGGCAGCCCAGCCTGGGAATGGCTGGAAACAGTTGCTCACCCCAGGGTGCTAGTGAACGCTTACATTTGGGGGCCTATGATTTGGGGCAAAAAGACAGACCTCAGATAACACATCTTGTGGTGTTCACCTGGGAAATCTCAGCCCTGTCTTCACAGCTGGTATTTTTGAAGCACTGGCTCCACTGCAGGCCGAACCACGGGTCAGAGTTTTCTTCTCTGGATCGTGCAAGGAACCAAAGTCTGGGCCTCTGCCTTCTCTTCTAAATATGCCACTAGGGCCGGGGATTTAGCTCAGGGTTCTGGCGCCTGCCTCCCAAGCACAAGGACCCAAGTTCGATCCCTGGTACAAAAAAATAAATAAGTAAAAAAATATGCCATCCATTAGCTTTAGGAAGGATGCCCCTTGGGCCTTCCAGGTCCTTCATTGGTACATTTATTTTTAATTAATAAATATTTTATCCAGTGGCTGCAAACAGCAGCCTCTTGGTAGAGGCCACAGCCCATTGCTTGCACAGGTTGTCTGAAGAGTCCTTGGAGGGAGCCCTGTCCAGTGACACAGATACACATTATAAACCTCAGAAGAGGAGGAAGACAGGAGCAGCCACTGTGCACCGACATCCGGGTTTAACAGCTGTTTACATTTCAGCATATTTGCTTTGTTTTTCTTTTTAAAGAAGTAAGCTGTGGTGAGTGATGTGTGTATCCTACCTGCTGCTCTTCCCGGCCGGACTCCACCCAAGTTGGCCACCATCCTGAAGCTGGTCACAGTCTTGTTTTTATCCTTTTACTGCAGAAAAGTACACATCTAAAGCCGGCCATGGTGGCCCACACCTGCAATGTCAGCAGTCTGGACTGCAGCTTCCAGCCCAGCCCAGGCAGTTTAGCAAGACCCTGTCTCAAAATAAAACTTAAAAATGGACTGGTAATGCAGCTCCATGCAAAGGCCCTGAGTTCAGTCCTCAGTATGAAAAAAAAAAAGTAATTCAGAAACATCGTGTAGGGTTGCTTTGTATGTTTCTATTAATTGTGTTTATTTGTGGTACTGGGGCTCAAACCCGGGGTGTCGTGCGTGCTAGGTGAGAGGCGAGCACTCTACTGCTGAGCTAGCCCCAGAATTGAAAATTAATAATCGCCATCCACATATTCTAAAAGACTTGCAGGCCTTTCACATTCCATTTTGCAGGTATTTTGACCGGCTTATTTAGGAAAGCCAAACAAAGCCGAGGATTCTTTTGTCAAATGGATGTTACTCAATTGGAGTAAGTTGGGTTAAGCCACATTATTTGAGAAGTTTCTAAGAAATAAAAGGAATTTGGCTATTCTAGTGTTGGACGCCCTGCTGCGATTGTATAGTTCCAGCCAACTAGTGACAGGTAGTTGGTGTTCCTGTCTGCAAGTCGCGCCCCAAAACACGAACAGGTAAAACTGCTTCTGGGCCTCGCGCGCTCACCGCCTGCTGTCTTCCCAGGACGACTTTTCGCCCACGAGCAAGCTGCAGCGTCTGCTGGCCGAGTCCCGGCAGATGGTCACCGACCTGGAGCTCAGCACGCTGCTGCCCCTCGGCTGCCAGGACCCCAGCGGCGGCGCCAGAACCGTGCGTGTCCGCTGCAGGTGACCGGGGTGGGGTCTTCGGATCCCGGCCGGCAGGGCGTGGCTGTCACCACGGCAACTTTTCGTCTAGAAGGAGTTTCCTTCTGCCTGGAGGGAGGGGAGATTCCAGGGGAGAAAAAGCCTCAGGCAGCTAACCGCTCCTACACACAGACTGCCTCTGCCTCTTTCTCAGCCCGAGTTGTGGGATTAGAAATTACAGCAGAGTGTTTCTTCTTTTTTTTTCTTTTCTTGCAGTTTAGGGGCTGGAACCCGGGGCCTCATGCATACCAGGCAAGCACTCTACCACTGAGCTACACCCCCACCTCAAACTCTTGGGGATTAAAAAAAAATTTTTTTTTCCAAATTTTAAATACAAAGTCAGCCATGGTGCCGTGTGCCTGTAATCCCAGCACTCAGGAGGCCGAAGCAGGAGGATCACTGTGAGTTTGAGGCCAGCCTAAACTGCAAAATGAGACCCTGTCTCAAAACAAAATTTTTTTAGATACAAAATTTCAAATACACACAAAAGTAGGAGGAGTAATACACTGACCTTCAGTGGTCATTACTTTTCCGTCATTTTGTTCCATATTCCCCCATCCGTACACGTCGTCTTCTGAATTACATTAGGGCAAATCTAAGGCACCATATAATTTCACTCATAAATATTTCATGGTTTATCTATATCAGCTATAGACTTCCTAAAAACTATGACAAACACAGTGGCACACATCTGTAATCCTGGCTACTCAGGAGGCTGAGGCAGGAGGATCACCAGCTGGAGCTCACCCTGGGCAATGTAGTGAGACCTTGCCTCAAAAAAAGGGCTAGGGGTATAGCCCAAGGGTAGACTGTTCCTAGGCTCATCCCCAGTAGCACACACACCGAAAGAATGTCCACACAGCCAGCCAAGGTCCGAACTTTGCATTTGCGTGTGTCCCTTAAAGTCTGTCTAGCCACTGATAGTTTGTTTCTTCCCTTCCTCCACTTTCTCTTCCTCCCTCTCCCACCCTTGTTCTTCCTTGTTCTCCGTGGTTTATGTTTGTTTTGTTTGTTTATTTTGGTGCTGAGGATTGAACCCAGGGCTTTAGAAATTGCTGAGTAAGTGCCCTACCACTGAGCTGCACCCCAGCCTTATTTATTTATTTATTTATAGTATGTAGTACATTTGTTGAAGATCGAGGGGCAGCAGCAGAACAGACAGAAGAGCAAAGCGGGGGATTTTTTGTTTTTTAATTGCATTCATTTGTGAAAGACAGATTGGGTCATTTTCCTGGAGAATTTCCCACTTTCAGGGTCTTGCCAGTCTATCCTCAATACTTGTTTAATACTTTTTTCCACAACCCCCCCCTTTCCTCCAAACTGGCATTTAGATCTAGTGACTTGAGTGGGCTTCTGATCAAGGTGGGGCTCCGGTTGCCTTGTTTGGTTTGGCTCCTGCCTTGGGATGCGGTCTCTGCTTCCAGTTCCACCCTGTCAGGAGCTCCTAGTATCTCCCTGTCCCACCTACAGGTATTTGCTTAATGGGCGCACTTAGGAGTTTGTCGGCCTGAGGTTTAACGTTGTCAAGTTTCCCAAAGTTCACTGGCTCTAGCATCTGTTGATGATTATTATTTAGATGCATGACTTCATCGAAACTGCGAAGTAGTAATTTTCTAGATCTGTCCTTTCAGGGAATGCTTCGCATGTTAATCGACTAGCTTATTCTGAATACAGTAACATTTCAGTAGCAGTGATGGAAGTTGCCTTGCACATTTCATAGCCTCAATGTAAATAGTGAAAAGAACACTGGATTTGAAGTCGGGACAGTTGCCCACTGTCCTAATGGTAATCTAAGAGCTTGGGACTGATAGGCAGGTAGATTGAGTTTGAGCTCAGCCTGAGCAGCTTACTGACTTGGGGAGACCCTGTCTCAAAATAAAAAAGGACTGGGAATGTGGCTCAGTGTGAAGGCCTGGGTTCAATTCTCAATACCAAAAAAAAAAAAGAAAAAAAAAAATGGAGACACTGAGGCAAGAGCCTTCTGTATTCCTGACCGAAAACCAAAACAGACAAAAGAGCTCTATAAGAACACTGAAATGTTTTCCTACGAAAATAAACCTTGCCAGGGAATGTATCTTAGAGCAGGGTGCTTAGCAGGTACAAGGCCCTAGATTAGATTCCCAGGACAGCAAGAAAAAGAAATATAACTGAAATATAATTGAAATATAACTTACATACAATAAAATGAAGACATTTATTAAGAATGTCCTTAGGGTCAGGGATTTAGCTCAATGACATTGCGCCTGCCCTGCAAACGCAAGGTCCTGAGTTCAATCCCTGGTACAAAAAAAAAAAAAGAATCTCCTTAATTCCTGCCCTGATACTTTAAGGCAAAGCTAGTGTAGATCACACAGGTTGATAAATCTGGACGCAGGTCCATGCGTCTGTGAACCAACATTCCTCTCAAGATGCGGAGCACTTCGATCGTGAGAAGTTTCCCCTACACTCAGACAAATTCTCCTTCCTCCCCAGCCCAGGATGTTATTGACCTGATTCTTATCACTAGAGTTTTGCCTGTTCCAGAGCTCCGGATAAAAGCGGCCATCCGGTGTATGCCCTTTATCTGGCTCCTTCTAGTACCATCATGTGGACTCATCCGCGAGTTGAGTTGCGTATCAGTGCCTCATGCCTCCCATTGCAGGTTAGGGTTCTGGTACAACTGTACCACAGATTCTTTACTCACCTGTTGGTGGGACATTTGAGTTGTTTCCAGGTTAAGTCTCTTACAAATAGAGCTGCTGTGAGTATTTTAATAGCAATTTGGGGGCAGGCTTTGAGATGGGGTCGCACTGGGTAGCCCAGGCTGACCTTAAACTTGATCCTCCTGCCTCATCCTCCTAAATGCTGGGATTCCACATGCCACCACATCCAATTTAAAACCATACCAGGGGCTGGGGATTTAGCTCAGTGGTTCAGCCACACCAGTCTTTTTTTTTTTTTTTTTTTGGTACCAGGGATTGAATTTAGGACCTTGTGCTTGTCAGGCAGGTGCAGTGCCACTGAGCTAAATCCCTGGCCCTTGTTTTTGTTTTTTGCAGTACTGGTACCCACAGCCACATCTTCAGCCTTTAAAAAAAATTTTTCCTTTTTTTAAAATCTTGAAATGGGGTCTCTCTAAGTTGCTAAATTGCTGCCTCAGCCTCCTGGTGCTGGGGCTACAGGAGTGGACCACCATGCCCAGCTGCATGTTTTCATGTCTTAGAGTAAATACCAAGAAGTAGAATTGTTGCTTCTAGAATAGGTGTGTGTTTAACCTCTTAATAAAGCACCAGATTGTGCCTCAGGTTAGCTCTGCCATTTTACACTCCTGCCAGCTGCATGAGTCCCAGGTGCCCATGACCTCGCCCGTGCGGACCCCTGTCAATCTCTGATTTTAGCCATTCTTAAATGTGTGAGTTTCTTTTTTTTTTTTTGGTACCAGGGATTGAACTCGGGTCCTTGTACTTGCAGGGCAGGCAGCGGAACCATTGAGCTAAATCCCTAGCAGCTATTCTTGAATGTGAAGTGGTATCTCATAATTTGCATCTTCCTGTTGACTAATAATATGGATCTTTTCATGCATTTATTGGCTCATTGATTTTTACCTTTTTAACGTCTTTTTTATAAAGCGTCTATTCAAGTCTTTTATCTATTTTGAATTTGAGTTGTTTTCTTTGTTATCATTGAGCTGTAAGAGTTCTTTCTATAGTCTGGACACAAGTCCTTTGTCCTTTGTTAGATATATTGTGAATATGTTCTTCCAGTATATGGTTTGTCTTTTCAATTTCTTTTTGGGTTTTTGAGCCAAGGTCTTGCCATATAGTTCAGGCTGGCCTTGAAGTCACTGGGATCCTCCTGCCTCAGCCTTCTGAGTGCTAGGATTACAGGGATGTGCCACCATGCCTGGCAAAAATTTTAAATTTTGATGCAGTTGAATCTAACAATTTTTTTTGGTACAGTGCTACCGCACTGATTACCACAACTCTGGGGAAAATCTAGAATCAGAGCTGTAGGTTCTCCCTCTTGCTCTTTCTTGGGGCCTTGTCTCAAACAAAAACATACAACAGGAAAATAAAAACTTGTATAAATATTTTTATTTGTTTTTTTATACAATGGAGTACTACTCTGCCATAAAGAAGGATGAGCTTCAGACATTTGTAGCTAAATGGATGGACCTTGAGACCATACTCCTAAGTGAAAACTTGTATAAATATATTTAATACTAACTTTATTGAGACATCATGTGGTTCATCCCTGCTATAGCACATGTTCCTATTTCTGTGATTTTAAAAGTTAAATCAGCTGGGCATGGTTGGCGCACGCTTGTAATCCCAGCACTCAGGAGGCTGAGGCAGGAGAATCGCTGTGAGTTTGAGGCCAGCCTGAACTACAAAGTGAGACCCTGTCTCAAAAAAAAAGGTTGACCCTTGCCTGGTTGTACATGTGCATCGCATTTGTCTGTCTGTTGTCCATCAATGGCACCTGGATTGCTGCCATGGTTTAGCTGCCGTGAACAGTGCTGCTGAGGGCTTGGGTGGACAGGTAGCTGGCAGAAACCGCTTTCAGCACTCAAGGGTATGTGCTCTGCCCCGGGGCAGAATTGCTGTGTGCAAGTGAGTGAAATAAAGCAAGGGAGGAACAGGTCGGTGAGGATGAGCACGCAGGCGTGGGGCTGAGGGCGAGCCTGGTGCCCACACCGACCGATGGTGTGGCCAAGGAGAGCAGTGGAGGTGGTTGCACCTATGCAGCCAAGGCCAGCACCTGGATGCACCTGTAGGTGTCACCTTCCTCTGCCCTTTCTCCTCTTTTCCTCTTCTTCCTTCCCAGCTCTCTTAGCGCTAACGAGTCTGGCTGAGCTCTTGGTAGGCACTGAAGTGGCAGCTGAGCCGCTGGCTCTGACTGCCCATGGGTCTGGGTGAGGGGCTGCCCTGCCAACTGGCCATTAGCTGACGGCAGTGCAAACACACACGGATTATGGCAAACGGGGCCAACCTGCTGGGCCCTGGCCCGGGAACCCATGTGTGAGCTGAGGGCCAGTGCGTCTTCACTGGAGTGGAGGGGTGGCCGCTGTTTGGAATTACTTCATTCTATTTCACTGATTCTTTTTTTTGGTATCGGGGATGGAACTCAGGACCTTTCGCTTGCAAGGCAGGCGCAGTGCCACTGAGCTAAATTCCCAGCCCAATTTCGCTAATTCTTGAAGGTCTTTTTTTTTGGTACTGGGATTGAACTTGGGACCTTTTGCTTGTGAGGCAGGCGGCAGAACCACTGAGCTAAATTCCCCTGCCCTCTTGAAGATCTTTTAAAGGCATTTCCGCTGGGTGTGGTGGCATAGGTCGGTAATCCCAGCCTACTCGGGAGGCTGAGGCAAGAGGATCGAAAGTTCAAGGCCAGCCCGGGCCACTTGTGAGACCCTATCTCAAAATTTTAAAAAGGGCTATGATTGCAGCTTAGTTCGAAGGGCTTGTGTTCAATCCCCAGTACCAAAAAAAAGGCATTTCTGCTATATCTGTCTTAAGTATTTTCTGGTTTCTCTATCCTGGGTACTCATTTGGGAATTGTTTTCTAGAATTTAGAAATCTCAGAAGAGTCAGCTCAAAAGAATACCTTCATCAGTCCCTGAAGAAAACAGAGTCAACTCCAGTGTCCACTGAGGCCCAGGTAAGTCACCTTCGCTCGTCATGCCTGTATCTCCACTGATATTTAATAAGTAACCGGGGACATTGATAGCATGGAGGCAAGGCTGTGCTTTTGTTTGACCAGTAATCTTTCTCTCTGCCAGCCCTGCTTATACTGTACATACCATCCAGATCCAGCCAGAGCGAAATGCCAGCTCCTGTGAGAGGAATGCAGATCAGGAGGCCCTTGTGCTTAGTACCTGGAAATTTAAATCTAAGGAAGTGAATCTCTAGATCCAGCTTTACGAGTCGGAGTCTGAAGCAGCATTTCAGCATTCCACCTGGCTGTCTCCCTGCAAAGAAATCGTTAGGTGGGGCTTGGAGCTTTGTACAGTGTGCAGCCCCTAAGCACTTTTTTGGTCTGGTTCTCCTGTCCTATTCCATTTCCTGTGCAGTGACCTCAGGACCCGGGGGATCTCAGCACAGACCTGACCAGGGCCCTGTGCCCTGCCAGCCGGAAACTCCTCCCTCCCCCTCTTGCCCAGAGGCCTTCAGCCCTAACCAAGCTGTGACTTCATGCAGATGACAATCAGATCCCCAGCCCAGGTTTTAGACCACAGAGGACAGAGCTTTTAGCACCAGCCGGGGCTTAATGATTTGCATTCTGTTTCCTTCCCCCGCCCCAAGGCATATTTCTGGTCCGAGAGAAGGCAGAAGCAGAGTTAGTACGGCTCCCTGCCCTCAAACCGAAACAGGGCCATGAGCCTTCCCGAGTCAGCATTCCATACCAGAGGGGAGCAGGGCTGAACACCTGCTTTTGTCTGCAGTGAAGCGTTTTCGTGTGGCCTTCTTGTACCTACAAAAGCCTGGAATTATTCTAAGGGGGGAGAAGACCTCTCTGGAAGGACCCAGACAGCCCTGCAGCCCTGGAGAACTCTAGGAGCAGAACATTAGAACCTCATGTGGAATCACGCTCTCTGCCTTCTCAGGACTCGCACACACATCCAAGTTAGAACCCGTGAGCTCTCAGAGTCGGCTCCAAAGATGGGAGAACAGTGCTGTCTTTTACAGTTTCAGGCCTGCGCTTTGCCGGTTAACAGATGAGGTTGAGGGTCACGTGGCCTGGGCTGCTGACAGTCGAGGTCCGTCTGTCCTAGCCCAGCACAGCCCGTCTTGCTGGGTCTGTGTCAGTCCATCCATCCACACGAACAAAAGTGTGCTGGAAGATCAAGTTTTATATGGATTTTTATATTAAAGAATAAAACACTTCCATTTTAACTTGTAAAGTAATTTGATTTTTTTAAAGACTATATTGTGCTCTGTGTCCCTTCTAAGAGAACCGATCTGTTTCAGTCAATAAAGAACATTTTCTTTGGTACCAGGGATTGAACTCGGGACCTTGCGCTGGCGCAGCAGGCGCCAGAACCACTGAGCTAAATCCCCGGCAAGAACATTTTAAATAATAAACAAAAGTACTTTTCTTTGGTTTCCTTTTATTGCACAGGAGTAAAATAAGGAAGGTTAGTCCCTTCAGACCAAAGCTGGCGAGTGCTTTTCCTCAGAAACAGGAATGTATTTTTTTAAGCATTTCAGATATCAAAGTTCTGTTGTGCTGGACAAATGCCCCTTTGTTGGAGGCCTCCGAGTTTCTTCAGAGATGATTTTCCCAGGAGTTGAAGGGCCGCCCCAGTTAGGCTTTTTAATTAGGGTGCTGAAAAGAGAAGTGGGGTGAGGTCCGGCTGTGTCCCTCATAAATACTTGCTCTCTCCCCGGGCCGGGCCGGTTGCACAGAGCCACACTGGGGAGGGTGTAGCCGGTCCTGAAGCAGCACCTGCGGAGCAGCAACCTGAAATATCCCCAGAGGTGACTTCCGGCTTTGCTCCTTCTCTGTGTGCTGGGCTCCTGCCACGGATCCCCTCGCCCAGTGACAAGGGGGCTCTGATTAATACAGAGCAGGAAAACTTCAGGGAACTGGATTTGAAAAGAATTAAACATTTCTGTACGGCTGAAAGTATTTTTAGCTCATAGGATTGTAGCATCTGCACACCTCTTCTAGGTGAGTGAGTGTGTGTGTGGCTGTGGATGGAACCCACTCCAGACAATCTGCCCCTGAGCTCCCTCCCCACCCTTACACTTCCGTGGCTGGTGAAGTTTTTCCCATGATGCTTGTGCTTACTCTGCCACATTACTGTGAATTACTTCACGTGTAATTAAAAAATGGCAGGTTTTATTCTGTCAATTTCTCACAACCTAAATTATTAAATTATATGAGCAATTTCTGTTAAACAGCCGATGTCAGTATGATTGAAATAGTTGCAAGAAAATAGATTTTAGGGTTTACATTTTAGCAGCATCTGTTTTTTTTTTTTCTTTTTTTGGTTTCGTGTTGAGACAAGGTCTCATTATTTAGTCCAGCCTGGGCTTGAACTCACTGTGTAGCCCAGGCTGGCCTCAAACTCACCTCGATCCTCCTGCCTCAGCCTCCCAAGTGCTAGGATTACAGGTGTGCACCACCACACCTGGCCAGAGTCATCATTCTTTTTTTTTTTTTTTTCAGAATCATCATTCTTGTTTTGTTTTTGTTTTTGTTTTTGTTTTGGTACTGGGGATGGAACTCCGGTCCTTGCGCTTGCGCAGCAGGCGGCGAAACCACTGAGCTAAATCCTTGGCCCGAGAATCATCATTCTTAAGATCAACAACATATCATCTTAAGAAGTGACTGAATTATGCTATAATTTGCCTGCCAGAAATGTTCTCAACATTGGAAAAGACTGCTACAAGGGTATTTTTAGAATTTATGAGCAGATCTTTTAAACAGAAGTAGAAATACTCTAAAAGAAATTGATTTAACCAGGCATAATAGTGCATGGCCGGAAATCCCAGTGCTCAGCAGGCTGAGGCAGGGCGATCACCATAAGTTCGAGGCCAGCCTGAACTACATAGTGAGACCCTGTTTCCAAAAAAGGAAAAAGAAAATGAAAGAATGAAAAATTTTTATAGCAAAACATTTATTGTGCATTTTATGCATACATAATGATAACGCTCCTCCTCGTAGGGTATGTGCACCTGTCACAATACAGCCTGTCTCCTTTTCCCCATGCCCCTCTCCTCAGACCCCCTCCCCTCCCTATGTACAAAAGCTTTGTTTCTGTTTTTCCCTTCTAGTTTCACTTTTTTCTTGTCCCTTCCTTCCTTTCTCCTTCCCTTCTCCCTTGTTCCCCTTCCCATTGGAACACTTTCTTCCCATTTCCCATCCATTATACATCTCAGTCCTCATTTCCGCATTCAGTTTCTCTCAGCAGAGAAACAATCGGGTATTTAAATGTGTGTCTGATTTATCTCACTTTTAAGAGTGTGGTCTCAAGGTCCATCCGTTTAGCTAGAAGTGTCTCAAGGTCATCCTTAGAAAGAAAAAAAGTGATTCTGAATCGGAAGAAATACAAACCCTAAAAACAGTTTCACCCCAAAGTTGCCAGTAGAGAGCTCAGCACGTGGGGGCAGTGTCCGGGGCGGTGAGCCCCCAGGTTTCCTCTGCGGTGCTGACCTGGGGTCCCCCGTGGTGACACCTGCAGCTCGGGCGGTGGCTTTGGAGGTGGCAGCTCTAGTTCCCTTCTCCATGCGAGGGCTGGAGGAGAATGAGCTCTAAGCCTCCTGTGTGCCAGGAGCAGCGTGGAGGATGAGACTAAGAAGCAGACTCATCCATCAGGACCGCCTTGGCAGAGGGGCTACAGCCCAGGACGCTCTGGGGTCCGTGGGATGGGAGTGCACATCGATCTGCTGGTTCTCAGCCCTGTGCAGACTGAGCTTGGTCCGCAAAGAGCCCAAACATCCGAGCACACAGTAGCCCTGCTGGCCACCCGAGACCAGAGCAGGGTTGATCCTCGATTACAGCCCAGTGAGGAAGACTGATCTTAAATAAGGACAGGGAAGGGGAGGTAAGTGCTAGAGAGGGACACTGGGAGATTCTGTGACAGCATGGATAGGGCAAGGCCAGGGCAAAGCGTTCAGGGAAGGTGTCCATTAAGAAGTGACATCTGAAGCAATAGCTGAGTTCACTAACCAAGCGAACAGGAAGTGAATTCCAGACAATAATAACAGCATGTGCAAAGGCCCTGAGGCAGGAAGGAGTGTGATGCATTTCCAGGATGGAGCAATAATGAAGCTGGGAAGAGGCTGGGCTTGTCATGCATGTGTGTCAGCAAGGCAGGCCGGGGATTGTAGAATACATCCTTTCATAAGCACTAATGATGCAAACTCTGCTTTCTCGATTCTGCCTAAAATGGTGTCTAATTTGCATCCCAAATGTGTGGTCTTGATACTATCTTAGAGAACTAAACAGCCCTCAAGACACTTCAAAATGCCACCTAGAACCTAGGCATGGTGGCATATCCTCATAGTCCCAGGACTCAGGAGGCTGAGGGAGGAGGATCACCGTCAGTTTGAGGCTAGCCTGGGCTCCATGGTGAGTTCGAGGCCAGCAGGGACCCCAATTCTAGTGATGTGGAGAATTGCAGGCAATTGGAGATAGTCAGTGGTAGACCAGGCCCCCCACCCGAAGATGCTCTGACATTGAGAAGGGGCCAGTTTGTGTCCTTGTGTCCCCAACAGCCCCTTTTCACAGACTCAGCTGGGGTCAAGTACACCACTTTCTGGGGCTGGTTTTCGCCTCTACCCTTCCTCTTGAAACGCCACTGCCAGGCTCCAGGGCCCTGTGTAGGATGCGCCCTGGCCTTCTCATCCCCACACAGACCTGCCGGGGTCCTGGTTGGAAAGCAGACCCACAGCCCAGCATTTGTGCAGTTGTTACCAAACCTTCATGACCATTCAATCAGACACTGCTGACTAAAATGCTGAGCACACAGCTGAAGACGCAAGGTAGGTGGCTGCTAATGTGAAGTCGCTGTGACAGATGCTCCAGGCCTCTGGTCCACACGTGAAGGTCAAGGATAACAGCTCTTGTTCCCAGTGGGAAAGGATCTGAGAAACAGCTGGTGCGGAGGAAACAAACCCCTTTGTTGTGGTCGGTAGTTGACAGTGACTATTGACTGAGTTGCCAAGGATTAGCAACAAGATAATGCTCTAAAGGGTTTTGCCCTGAACCTGGCAAATAAGCACTCAGTAAATATCAGTGATTGTTACTCTGATGTTATTCTGGTAAAGAAGCTTTCCAGCGATTGGAATTAGATAAAGCACGATTCATCTCTCTCTTGAGGAGTGAGAGGACAGCCATGTCCCGTACAACTTCTGGTGTCCAGTGTTAGCTCTTGGGGTACACAGTGAGGGGTCAGAGCGCAGAAAGACGAGCCGGGCGTGGTGGCGCAGGCCTGTAATTTCAGCACTTGGGAAGCTGAGGCAGGGGGATCACCATGGGTTTGTGGCCAGCCTGGGCTACATAGCGAGACTCTGTCTCAAAAACAAAACAGAGAGAGCAGAAAGACAGGGTTCTGGGCTGCAGAGTCTTTCAGTCTCGTGGGGCCAACACCAGCCTTCCCAAGGCAGTACCTCCCCTCTGACAGGTAGTTGACCCTGGTGACACCTTGCCTCCAAAATCCCAACACTAGGGAGGCTGAGGCAGGAGAATTGCCAGCCTGGGCTATATAGTGAGTTCAAGGCCAGCCTGCACTACAAAGTAAGACCTTGTCTCAAAAAACCAAAATAACAAAAAAAATCACACACACACACACACACACACACACATCTGCAATATGTATATGTACCGATTTCCCAAGATGATTGTAACTATTATGTTTATTTTTTATTTTTTGGTACCGGGGATTGAACTCCGGTCCTTCTGCTTATGAGGCAGGCGGCGGAACCACTGAGCTAAATCCCCAGCCCTGTAACTATTATGTATCACAAACGTATACTAATAAAAAATTTTTTCGGTACCTGGGATCAAACTCAGGACCTGGTGCTTGGGAGGCAGGCACGGTGCCACTGGGCTAAATCCCCAGCCCCATATCTATAGTCTTATTTATTTTTTGGCACTGGGGATCGAACTCGGGACCTTGCTCTTGCGGGGCAGGCGGCGGAACACTGAGCTAAATCCCCGGCCCTAGGGACAGTTTTTTCTGTGGTTTCTCAGGGGGCTGCAGGTGCGCGGGGCGGGGGGCCTTTTGTCCTCGCGTTTGGTCCTAGTGAGTTAGTGAGTGGCGTGGGGCAGGTGGAGGGCGGTTCTGCAGCTCCTGGGGAGCAGGGCGTGGAGGAGGTAGCCCGTGGGGTTCCGGGCCTGGAGTACCGGGGGCGGGCGCCGTGAGAAAGACCTGGGGCGTGAGGGCGGGGCGCC